ATCTCATGAATCTGATGCATAACAATCATCTACAAAGAAATTAATTTGAACTCCATAAATTTACCCCAAATCAGAGAAAAACCTAAAATTCGCAATACTGAATCAAACAAAATTTTTTTTTAGAAAAAGATTTCTTACCTCAAACTAGAATTTGATGTGATAAGGGAAATGAGGGAGAAAGAGAACGGTGAGAGATTGAACCTCGAGAAATTTTGAGCCGAAGGAGTGGAACAAAGCTACCCTAAAACGCTAAAAAGAGAACCGCAATGAAGGAAATGATTTTGGCTGTAAGCCACGAAAGTATTACAGTAATTCGAGTACCATAATACCAAGAGTTTTCCTCACAGTATTTTAAATATCATATAAAATATGGTACTTAAAGTACCGTAATGGTCCTTCACTGTAATACGACTACCATGAAGGATATTTTCGTCATAAACCGTTCAAAATTGAAGAAAAATGGTGTGGACGAGGTTTTTGAAAGTTATGGTTTTTTTCTTCTAAATATATGGAAATTAAGGTATATTTGTGATATTTTATGTTCATTTTAACATTTTTTGACCAAAATAGTCTTCCCGATAGTCGTATTACCATGACGTATAGCGCATTGTATAACGCATTATGGTACTTTAAGTAATATAATGACCAGGCTAAGCATTACGGTATTTAACTCTAAAACTATTTGAAAACTTCTGATGCCATTCTGAAGAGGGAGTGCTTCCTCTTATGGACTTTTATTGTCGGTGGATTTGAATTTGTTCGTAGTCTGCATAGTGTGGGTGGACTTGAATTAGTTTGAATTCCGCACAGTGGAGAGTCGATGGACTTGATTTGTTTTGAAGTCCGCACATTAGCTGAATAGTGATAAGTACTACAGTGACTGCATAGTAAAAGAGCTACAGTGATTGCTACAGTGACTGTTGCTACAATCTTTTAGTGAAAAAACTCGATTCCTTCGCCTTTTTCTTGTGATTTTTCAGGCATTGTCGGGACACGTATCCTAGATTGATTGGAGTCGGTCTGCCCCTTATCTTGAATAGTGTTTTAACTGTGTTGAGATGCGAAAGGCTTAGAATACTCTAGATCGAAGCCTTCTTCATTTTGATTTTCGTCATCTGTTTGAGAGGTAGACATTTTGTCTTCCTCTTTCCCGTAAAGCCATCAAGAGCCTCTTTTTAAGCTCTGTTTTTTAAATTCGGTTAGTGTCTATTTGGTTTAAATAGTACATCAATTCATCGGTTTCGATAGTGTAGATTAACCGGGAAAATTTTTTTAAAGTAATTTTTTCTTTCTCAAGTTGCGTATAGGTTAAATTATCCCACCATTTGATATAAACTTGCCTTTCTAGATTTGGGATATAATCTCACCTCTCATTATCATCTTCATTTAAAGGGTATTCACATCTCATTATCCAAGAGATTTCATATAAAATCCAAAAATATATTTCAAGGTTTATTTCTCTCAACACTCGAAAGGATGTTTCTAAAATAGAGGGGAAACCCAAAAAAACTCTATTATTCAAGCCTCCTCCCATTATTGAAGCATGAAAGTTTAACTTACAGGGTATAAAAAATAAAAAGATAACCAGGAACTTGTGGATGAATTAGTTAAGAAACTTTCAGAATTAAATATCTCTAACAAAGGAAAAGGACTAAGTGTTGTACATGAAAATAATGACTATGCTGATCAATAAATAGTAGAAATGGAAAATGCTTTATTACATAAGGAAAACCAATCCTGTAGCCCTGACCAGAATGTATTATCCTAGGCCTATTCCTGTAGACCTTCAAATTAAAGAAGATTTAATCTCCAATTCAGCATCATATTCTGGAATGTCTATAGTAAACTGGAACATATATGGCTTTTATGAAACACTAGTGCTTGATTTAATGGAGCACATGGGTATGCATGCTACTGCATGCAAAACTAGTGGTAATAAGGACCACGAAATTGCTAAATCTATTGTATGTGGATTTACTAGCTCGCTTCGAGGATGGTGGGATTTCCACTTAGATGAATCCGTCTGAATAAGATTTTAGATGCTACTAAGAAATGAGTTGTTAAAACAGAAATAGGCCTAGGGCAAGTCCAATAAACATTTGTAGATAGAGGAGAAGTAGTAAATACTTGAATCTATATAATTATACTCCACTTTGTAGGTAGCACTGCTCTACTAGCACTAGATCAGAAGATTTACTATAGAATCTTCGCTGTCCAACACTGTCCCATTTCAAATGGTATAAATATGTACTTTGTTCAAGGCTATTAGCAAGAGAAGATAGCAAAGCGGATCACTAGAAAGAAAAATTCATTTCCAGTATTCCAAACCTTTTTGCTGAAAAGGTTAAAACAATGCTTAAAAATAAGTATAATGATATTATACCCTACTCCCAATATACATTTGGATAATTATCGACATAAATTTGTGCCGAAGGTCTTGTTCTCTGTACAGACCTTAAGCTCCAAAGGCAATTAGACAAGCAACAAATGACAAGGAAAATATAGCTTGGAGATTTTTGTGAACAGTTTGGTCATAATACCTTTCTACCATTTGGTTCACATCATAAATAAAAATCTCGGAGAGGTGGAAAGTATAAATCATTTTCAAAACAAGAAAAGCCTTCTACTAAGAAAAATAAATTTTATAAAAAAATTGTGAAGGATCAATCATTTAAACAAAAGAGGAAAAGAAAAATACCTATTTGTTTTAATTGTGGCAAAGTAGGACATTACAAAAATAAATGCAGAGTAAAAAATAAAATTAACGCTCTTCAAATCAAGGATAGTATTAAAAGACAGTTGTATGATATTCTTTTAATAAAAGAATAATCAGAAGACAGTTCTTCTGAATCTAGTGAAGTTATTTTTCAAAACTCTTTAGAACAACATTGTAAACATTTAAACAAAGGTAGTAAAAAATGCTAATCTAATAATCTCTGCAAAAAAAATTACTCTCTTTCAAATAAGGATCATGGTTGGTTCCCTGAAGATTGAAAGAAAATATTGGTATAATTGTTTTGTTCTATAACATAGGCTATGCCCTCTACTTGTGCAACTTGGTCTTTATTTTTTGGTTCCATTTTAAAAAGGGTAGCCTTAGCATCAACCTTTTCTCCTTTCAATACAAGAGCAGTTTCAAGTGGATGAACTGCCTCTATGGTTTTACCTTCACTTGTATGAAAGGTCTGAAAGGTCTCTGTAGCTACTTTAATTTTTTGTTTAAGAAATTACGAGATAGTAATTCTTTTTTGGTTAAGTATATACCTAAGCTAGCCAAATAATTTAATAATCTTTTTATGTTCTATCAGAAACTTATTATACTTTTCATGAAAAAGTTCTCTGAGTCTCCCTTCAAACTCATTTAGAAACCATTCTCTAATTTATTTATTTTCATCAGAGCTAAAATCATTGTTTAACCATTATTTATCTATTTAAAATTCTTCTTGTCTTTGAATGACATTCATTCCGAATTCAAAATCTGAAAAGGTAGGCTCTTCTTGCTCAACCTTTTGTTCATAAGAGGAATCATGAGTATTCACTTTATACATAGGTTCTTGCACATGTTGAGAGGTTTTTCTTAAACTTTCTAATACAATCCTATCAAATATGGGATCGTTCATAATCAATTGTAGGAACATATGAGGTAGACACTCTAGCAGATCTCTTAGGAGGGAGATTAGTTATGTTAAGTCTTGTTCACCTTGATGATGGAAATTGTATTTCAATTTTACCATCAGGATATTCAACTATCTGTTTAGGTTCTCTATTTTCTAGTATTTTCGGCTGAGTTTCAAAGTGGAGAGACCATCTTTCAGGTAATTTAATCTGATTCCATGATACCGTCATAGGTATCACTAAATTAGATTTTTCTATATTTGTTTGACAGAACATTGTTTATAACCTTATAACAAATCATATAAACAAAAGCAAGGTTTTTGGATCCGGGATCCATATTAGCCTGCTCATTACGGTACTTAAAGTATCGTAATGCTTAGTCTGGTTATTATGGTACTTGAAGTACCATAATGCAGCAGTTATTATGGTAATACAACTACCGTAAATGTTAGTTTGGTAAAAAAAAACACAAACATGAGGAAAAAGGGTGTGGACGAGGTTTATGAAAGTTGAGAGTTTTTTTTCAATTTGACGAAAATTAAAGTATATTTATGATAATTTGCCTTAAAGATAAAAATAGATTTTCAAATAATCTTAAGATTTTTTTAAACTAAAATTACATATTATGAAAGTTAACCTATTATAAAAATAATAATAATCCCACATCGAGCTGTTCAAGAGGTGTGAAGCTTTACAAAAATCCAAAAGCTCATGACATTATCAACTCGTGCTAGAATACAACGCATGCAGAGCAGTGGACGTGCCAGTTATTATATGGGGCCATTTTGATTAGATCACGTGTCGCTATAGTGAACGATTTTGGATGGAATCACTGATCCATTACGCCATCGAACGCGTGAAAAAATGCGATACCCGAACGCCCAGTGAACTCGACGATACTTTGATGGAACCGGATGGGTGTCACCGATACTCGATGAGGCACCCAATTTTTAAACATTGATTATGATGACGCGCCTTAAGATTGTTTTAGGTTGCGACCTTATAGAAACTAGAACCATACTTAAAAATCTTAATTTTTTTCACGAGAATAATGGTGATGGTCGATATAATCGATATTAAAGGTCCTCAACTCAAATGTTTTTAATTTTCGGTAAGATTTCATATAGGTTTGCTCTTACTATAGGGCTTCATTAAAACATTTTCCAAAAAATTATTTGAGCGCCTGGTATTTTCTTTTCTCTCGCTTCTCTTTCAACTTTGCGCCAAACCACCAAATCGATAGTTGTGAGCCCTGTTTGCCCCTACTCCCCTTTCTTCCTCGTCTGTGATTCCACTATGGGAAAATAAGTAGTGATTTGAGAGTTTTGGAGCTTATCAGGTCTAAATCTTGAGCTTATTTGTAACCTTCCATTTCTGTAATTTAGTGAAGTTTCAATGTGTTGTCATTTTCTTTTCTCTTTTGTTGCAAAATTTAGGTCAATCTCTCTGTCACTCTCGCGTCCCATTGAAGTCTATGGATATTTGATTTCCATGATTGTGCTGTGATGTGTAAAATATCATTTTTGGTGGTGGAAGTCATAGACTGCAATCTATTTATTGTTGGCTTTTACTATCAAAACTCATTCTGTTCGTTCTGATTTACTGCAATCTGTTTATTGTTGGATTTTAGTATCAATTTCACTCTATTCTTCTGATTTACTTGGTTATATCCATGTGTGAGTATCCCATGACCTGTCTCACTGCCATTTTGTTCTGTTTATTAGATAACCAATGAATTAGTTAACCAGTAAAAATCCATTAAAAACTGCACACCAGCAAACAATAGGCCCCTATAATGGCTGAATCGACTGAAAGTAACAGAAACGGTGACCTGTCTTCACTGAGCTTCTGGTTTTTACTGTCCTGTATTTTATCTATAGTAATGGCCACTATGAAGCAGCAGGGAACAAAACAACTTTGTTTCGTGATGTGGGTCGTTCTTTTATACAGGAATTCCTTCTGGTTTTTTGCAAGGTGAAAGGTGTCTTGTGTTTCTGTTGCTCGTTCTTCTTTCCCTTGTTGGGTTTTGGGGCTCTCTTCTCTGGCTGGTCTCCTGGAATAATGCATTTTATTTCAGAGGCCCCCAGCTGTAGTGCGTGAGAAATGAATATCTAATGCTTATATTCCTTTGTTTGAGCTGCAGGAAGGTTGGACTCAAGGAGGGATCCATTTGATTGCATTTTTGAAGAAATCGCTCCGCAGTTGCTTTGAAGGGCAAAAGTGATGACTAATGAGCAATCGGAGCTTGACTCTGATTGGTCCATAGACTCTGACGATGTTGTGGATGAGGATGTCGGAGATGCTCTTGATTGGTTGGATTTGAGGGATGACTCTGAATATCGAGATTTTGATGGCAGTTTGCCAAATGCACAGCGTCCTAATGCTCACGGTGGCATTCATTCTCGGCCACGTTCTACAGCTACTTCACTACAACCCCTTAGCAACCGGAACCAGAAGTTCTCAAGCCATATTCATGCAGGCCCCCTCGAGGTAATCTCCTCATATTGTTATTGTGTTGATTTTGTATATTAATCTCTTGTTCAAAGACTTCAATAAATGGCAAGATTTAAGGTTGCTTTTCTTTTTGGAGTAAAGTTAGTATGTACTGTATAATTACAAGACAATCCCCTAGACAAAATGGGGAATCAAATGTTCAAGATGGAAAACCTGAAGAGGAAAGAACCCCCAAAATGTTATATAGATGGCCCTAAGTTGAGAAGCCTGCCTTCAGGAAAATGGTAAATAATGAGATAATGGAAATCCGCACCCCTTCTTTTGTAAGGGCATCAGCCACAGGTTTCGCTTTTCTCCAAACTTGCTTGAAAGCAACCATCATTGAGCTCATGATGTTGAAAATTTGGTCAGAAAATGGGCTCAAGCAATTGCCATAAACACCCTCAATTCCTGCCAGCCCAGGGTTGCCAAAGGGAGCATCCATTGAAGTTGAGCTTGATGGCTCCCTCTATGGGCAGGGACCAGTTGCTGCACTGAGAGCGTCATAACTTTAAGCTTGCTGTTTCTAGAATTTCATTGTTAGTTTTACTCTTATTGTTTATGGGATTTCTTGCTGGACTTGCTCTTTATTGAGAATGTTTATGTGCAATGAAACTCTCTCTTTCAAAAGTCAGGCTGTTCTGTTATCTCAGTAAAGTTCAGTTAAAGTAATCACCAACAAGAGAAAAGGTTAGCAGTTGCCTTTTCTTTTACTCTATTGGCTGGTACGTTAGTGTCTTAAGGGATGATAATTATACTTCTAACCCTCCTTACGCACCTATTGAACCAAACATCACCAGATAAAATCAGTGCAATAGTGTGTATCTTATTATTTTTGAATCATTGTGGTTTTAATGTTGTTCTTGGACTAATGTCTCAGCTTTATTACTTCATTCTAATCATAAAACTTTTATTGTGTTAGTTATCGTGGAGAAATATCTTGGGCTTTGATTAATGCACATCATGCTTCTTATCATTCCGAAATCTGAAATACTGTAGGGGAAGTTTATTTTGAAGTGATATCTCATACAATACTTCAAAGCATAGTTACTGGAACCTTGTAGGAAATGTCAACGACCTGCTCCGGAACCTCCATTCCATGGTTCCAGAGGAATCTTGGATGGAACACGGATCCCTATATTGTGATCCGCGTTCCCAGTAGGTTCGAAGCGCGGTTCTAAAGTGTATGACACAATGCATATGATTTTTTTCTCTATTTGGCACTGATTCATATGCAATGATTCAGTTTTGTGCTCAATGGTACTGTGAGCCCACGCATCATTCTTGATCCCTTAAAATATACTATTGCGATTCCTTCCCCATGGAATCGCGCTTCCCTGTGACAAGGATCGTACTCCCTTGAAATAGGATCGTAAAGACGGCGATCCCAACCACAAGGAGCTATCCCAACCACAAGAAGCTTCCAACAATCCATGGTTCCACGGACCCGAGCCTGCTCCCGCTCTGGGGAACACACCCACACCTGAACCTGACAACTATGCTTCAAAGTCATATAAATTGTAGAGTGATAAATCATTTCTCTTTATATCACATGAAAGGGGCTTTTTTTCTGTCCGGATATCTGAAATTCAATCAATATATTACATGTAATAGTCACTGATTGCTTTATGAGAAGTCACGGAGAGCAGAGTGATCTAATTTTCACTTATATCACTGGAAATTAAAGGAAATGATATATGATTTTATGATTCCATTGTGCAAGACTTGCAGCATATCCTAGGGATAGAGGGTCGTGTTTCTAGAGGAAGAGATGGGGCTTAGACCTTCACTCTAGTTGCACTACTTTGTCAAGTGGTTGATGTTTATACCCGATTTCGAAGGGAATGGCATTTTGACTGTTCAGCCTGACCTCGACCTTGAACAAAGTCTTTCAAAGGCAGTTTTGAGGTTTGATCGAATTGTAGCCTACAAGAGAAACTAGCCGTGAGACTGCTTTCTCATGGACCACCGGCTTCGATGACTTGTGAGGCAATGAAACTGAAAATTCATTAAAGAGAAAGTTTGGGAAAAAGATTTGAGAATAAAAGAGAGAGAGGTTTAGAAAATACCTTGGAAACATAGCGAAATTAATTAAACAAAATGAATAAAAAATACAAAATAGAGAGAAAAGAGGGATTGGGTCTACATGGAGCAAAGCCGTAGTTGTGTCCCTAGTTAAGAGTAATCGGTGCAAGGGGACCGCTTCCTGTTGTCTTTTTAATGTCCTGAGCTAGAGACGCTTGACTTGAGGTTGTGTCGAGTCAGAGGAGCCTTCATGGTATGGCGGGCCACAGTGGACTACAATTTAGTCTTGGTGGTCCATAGGCTAGAGTTTTGGTGTTTTGTGTGAGGGCTAGAGAGGTGAAACTAAGCTTGTTGGAGTTGCCCCTAGGCTAGGGTTTGGCTGAGATTAGGCTTCTATGGTTGAGGGGCGAATAATTTTTGTCAGAATTTTAGCGTTAGGGCTATATGAAAGGGTTCTAGACTAATACGGGTCTGTTAGTTCAGTAAGTAGCCCCTGTACTATGCTATATTGTATAGGGTATAGGACTGTGCTCCTGCTTAACGAGAGTACACTGACTGTAGTACTCCCCCCGAGGGGAATAGTGTAGCTAGGAGGGTTCCATCTGCCTTAGGAATTGTGGCAAGGGGGGTCATTCCCGTATTAGCGCGCCTGTCTACAAGGCTGCCCTAGAAGACGAATAGTTAATAGTATATATTCCTTAACTTAAAAAGGTACCCCTTTTAGTCCCAGTTCTCTGGCTTGTGAGGACCTCTGAGCCTGCCGCAAGCTAATGAAGGGCCTTGAAAAGTCCTTGGGTTAGGTTTGGTTGTTATCAGTGGGTGAGAACGGCTTGAATATGGCCCTACCCAAATGGTGGCTCGATCTTACTCGTCGATCTTCTGCCAGCTAACATAGCTCTCATGCGTGTTATGTTAGAATGTGAATGTAATATGTAGGTTCACAATGTCTGTGGGCCCAGAACAGGGGCAGTTACCTGCCATCTATCCCCCTGATTCTTCTAATGGCCATTGTGTGTTGCATAGGGTTTAAAGGTGGGGTTTATTGGGGGTTTGTTAGGGTTTAATGATCCATCTTTATAGTTCAAGTACATAATTTTGGGTCAAAACTAGGGCTAGGTTAGTTTAGGCTGGTAAGGATTACGGGCGTAATTTAGGCTTTGAGATTTTAATCTAGTCTTAGGCTCAATTTGGAAGGTGTTATAATAGTTTTAAGGGTGGGTTGGCCAATTTAGGCAGGTTTTAGAGGGAGACTAGTTTAATTAAGTAGGTTTGAGCTAGTGGGTTCAGCAATTTAGGGCTTCCTAAGTGTGTATTGGGTCAACTTGGTGGATTTAGCCATGAGAATATGTTTTTGGTGCTTTTTGGGAATGCGTGCTATGTTAACATGTAGACAACATTGACAATTACATTCACAGTGGCTTTCTAGAAAATCTCGGAGAAAATGGGCTTTGCGTGAGTATAGAACACGCACGTGTATTTATAACAATCGCACTCAAGGTGATTTCCTGGAAATTTTGGCAAAAATAGGCTTTGCGTACGAACTGAACACCAATGCGTATTGATAGAGTATTTATTGTGTATTGTATCAACTCGCATGCGTATTAAAATCGCTCGCACATGAACCAAAATGGAATTTTTGAAAACAATCTTGTTGAGGTCATAACTTCCAAACTGTATATTCAATTTAAGTCATTCTTGAATCATCGGAAAGCTTATGGCCTCCTCTATGGAAAGCTGACGGCCTCCTCTACAATTTGGAATCAAGGTTGGTCCAATTTGGGTGAGTTTTGAGGGGTCTATGTGGCTTGGACTTTAAAGTGTTGGCTTTCAGGTTTTTGGGTGTCGGATTGGTGTATGGTTAGTTTTCTATGTTTCTTACGCTCAGGGGTGTCTAGGTCAGATTGGTGGGTTTAAAGTCTGGGTTTTAGGTCCAAGAAGGTGACTAGGTCAGAGTCCTACAATTTCTTTGGCTACCTGTTTCATGGAATTCCATCAGTCGAAAAAGTGGGGTATCTACAGTTGCGTCCCAAGTTGTTTTTCGTTTGAGTTAAATGGATTACCCACAAAAGGATTATTTATATGTTTGTATGTTTGCATCTTTGTGTTGAATTTGTATTGGTTTTTTGGGAACTCTCTGATTTTGTTTTTGATATACGAGGAAGTCATCTATTTTGCGACATCTTCTCATGTATGTCTTGATATTAATGAGCCAAATTAAGAATAAGCTAACATGTTTAAATTTTGATTTGAATCACACTACAAGACTGGCCAATGATGTCCTTAAGAGTATTACTTGAGATTTGATCAATCCTATGGTGTATTGACGAATCTGAGTGCAACATAATTTTTGAAACATGAATGTTTTTTCCTCCTTTTTGCTGCATGGAAACCATCCACATGTTTCTTTTCCATTTCAAGATCTATGTTGGCATGAGAGAGCTGAAGGAATTCGATTGGAGGGTGATGTTTTTAGCCTATTGTTATGGAAAAGCTAAGAATCGTACGTTTGTATTTTGAAGCATTTGATTTATATTTATTGGTGGTTACGTTCATTGGTGGCTTCCTGAATGAACGTATTCATTGGGTTGGAAGTAGAGATAATAATGCTTGCAGGTTCATAGAGATGATTGAGATGTTGGACATATGTCATTTGTCTTCATACCATTTATTACTGGATGGTAATGAAATTGCTTATTATCTTGCCAGAGAAGGTTTGTCTTGAGAATTGCCAAGTGCTAATTCATAATTCTTCATTGACGCGTGTTTTAGTTATTAAATAGCAATGTTAGGTGTAAGGAAGAAGTCATAATTTGCAAGTAGGAATGGGACGTTTAGTATTTAGTAACAGTTCGAATGATTTTTGTATTTGGGGGTCTAAGTATCACACTTGGGAGCAAATGAATATTTTAACAGGTCAATGCGTAATACTTCCTTGTTTACAGCCAACTAATTAAAGAAGAACTATGTGGCATGTAATGCAACAAGCTTTCTTTTTATGAAGGCTATGATCTTCTGTTCATTTGTTAATTTCAGACACCCCTTACTTAAAGATGGTAAACATTAACGACTCAAAAAAAAAAAAGGTTAAATGTCACTTGCCATGGCTATTGTCTAATTGTCATTTATATGCTTTTGTTTTAAATGGCTTGATATTGTGGCTAGGTCTATTTGGGTTAAAATTTTACAAATAGAAATTGTTGAGGTCAGACAATGCATTCATCTCTCTGGATATTCTTTTGTTGACCATTTTGTTTTTGAGGGAATTCTTTTGTGAACCTTAGTTGCTTTGCCTAATATTAACAACTTTTGTTAAATGGGAGTTTCTTTTCACTAGAATTGTCCTGCTGAGTCTGAGTTACCTTCTTTTAATTTTGGTAGATGTTATGTATGTTGCATATTGATATGGGGATTTGAGTTGTGCAGGAATGGGAGGGAAGACTGAATGTTGGCATGTCAAACTCAGTGGCAACTGCTATTCGTGAAAGTGTTCGAGGTATGGCTATTGGAAGGACTAGAACTACTGAGAAAGCAGACCGTGCCACTGTTGAGCAGGTTACCTTTTTATTCTTTATGAGTGGTCCTTTGAGCAGGCTACCTTTTAGTTTACATGCATTTTCTGAGGGTCAATGATTATGTTGACTGTCTCTTCTATATCACGCATGAATTACCAAGCTTGTCATTCAGGCATCTTTATTGTCTGTTATCTTTCTTTTTGATTGTTATCATGTTAATTGCATCTGAATTTTGAGGTGGTTTAAAACCCAATAGTTGTTATGGGGACGTGTTCTATCTTTTTACTTGGACTATCCATAAAGTTATTGATGACACCTCTCGATTTGGGAATTAGACTACTATATTTCTTTAGCAGTTGTTTGAGATCTTGTCGCTTGTAAGTTACATGCAATTTAAAAGAATCAAGTTTTCGGCATGGTTTATCTGAAAATTGTCATGGTTTATTGTCTCGTGTGCCTATGATCAAAGGGGTTGATTTATAGCATTTTACTCTCCAAAACCTTTTATTTGCTCTGGCCTAATCATGCTTTATCTCTCCTGTAACATGAGGTTGGCAGCCTCGCTTTTGCCAACATTCTACTTAACTTTTATGTGATAAATCATTTTCCTAATTGTTGGTATCCTATTACAGTTAAGATAGAATTCACCTATTAAGTATTACCTCGTATATATTGTTTTGTTATTGATTAAATCGCAATCGTTGTAATAGTATCATGATATTGGCAGGCTATAGATCCAAGAACTCGCATGGTATTGTTCAGAATGTTGAACCGTGGTGTGTTCCATGATATTAACGGCTGCATTTCTACCGGAAAAGAAGTATGTTATCATCCAATTCTTATGGTTTGCAGATCCATTCAAACTCCTTTATATTTCTGTACTTTTATTATTTTCTCATTGTTCAATTAATTTCCGCTTTGACATCTAATTTTGATAACCATAAGTTTATGGAAACTTGTAAATGAGCATGCATTTACATGCATTACGGGAGAATACACATGAATGTATTACGGTACATATGCATCATTCTTTGTATCCTCCCTTATACGTGCATTGTTTGTATTCTATATCTGAGATGCACATCCAGTTATTGGGATGCTTGGGGAGAGGACCTTCGTTGGGTATGTGAATCCACATGACGCTCCATCAAGAGGAGAAAGAAAGATGGGAGCATAGATGATGGAAGGCAATCCCATTCCCTTTATTTTCTATGCTGGAGGGAGGTTCATTGCAATTTGCGCCATTAACCTTTATCACTCTTTTTTCCATCCTCATCAGCCCTTTGTAGAGATGTTTCAAAATAGTAACCCAATGTTTTTTACTACTAATATCTAAATCAACCAAACCCTCTCTGAAGTACTTGAAATGCCTAATCTTTATTTCAAATGCCTCTAGAGTTCCATATTTCTGTGTTATATCTCTCCAAATTCATACGTCAAAGATGCAACGTCACCAAAGTTTGACTTCCGTGTGCCTGCCCTAAGTAACCTGCTATATGCGTTCTGCATATGTACATGAGTGGGATGCATTTATGGGTTGAAGCTGACTCTGAATTGGTCATTAGAACGTGTTCAAAACACAAATCAGAGTAGAAATTTGAGAGGAAGGTAAATGAAATACTAAACTTTGTGAGTGGATTTGCTGAAGCTTGTTTTTCACACATCAACTGTGGAGACAATGAAATTGCTGATCTTCTTGCTAAGGTCGGTGGCCTTTCGAACATTTGTAGATTTGGCAAGGTTTCCCACTTTTCCTTCTCTGCCTTATAGAGAGATCTGAACACTGTTCATTTCAGATTTGTGTAAACCTCGTGAAGTTAGACCCAGTAATTTAAAATCCGGGATGTGGCCAAAAGCGTTGGGGGGGCCGATGCGGCGATGTGGCTTGATGCGGTCCGGATGCGGGCACATCGTGGCGATGTGGTCAATAAATATAACAAACTCAAAACAATCTAAAAAACTAGGTTAATGCATGGAAAAAAATATGGAGGTGATATATGTGATAGTAGGTATTTAGATTATTCATTAACTCCAAAAGTACTAGCTATCGGAGATTATGTTATCCACGATTCCCTGATAGAAACTAGAAACTTGAAACTAGCTTCATAAAACATTCAACAATCAACAACCATAAGAACAAATCTGCAACCAAAAATTTTAAAGTTGCAAATTTTATAAACTCTTTAATCTTGACAAGAGTCAATGAAGTCCATGAAGTTCTTTGACTCGGTTTGTATGCTTTTTATAAACTTTATAAATTTATAAGCATGTTGTAACTTTACGATATCAGAGCATTTATGAAGATCAATAAATTTTATGAACTCATGAATTTGTAACTTTACTGTATTTGTTCATGAAACTTTTTAAAGTTAAAAATTTTATTTGAAAAGTATTGGGAAAAGTTCTTCGATTTGTAACTTTTAATCTTCATGGATTTTAGTTTGTAGTATCTTGTATTACAAATCGAAGAATTTCAACAAATAAAATTTCCGCCCAATTTTTTTTTTTTGAATCAATCGATCCAATCAAAGCCATAGATGTGGCTGAAAAATGTTGTTTGGGTGGTTTAATACCCCCCAAACCCTTTCCCGCCATTTTCAAAGGTCAAAATGACCTTATTGCCCTGCCTGAGGGGTACAGTTTTGAAAAAAATGGTGGACAGATTATGCGGCGTGATGCGGGTTGCGGCTCTGATGCAGAGGGATACGGCTCTGATGCGGGCGCATCTCTCCAAACTGCATATGTGGAAAAGCGCGATTGTTTGGGTAGCGCATAGCGCCTGATGCGGCCGCTTATGCAGCGATGCGGCCGCATATGCAGCGATGCGGCCGCATATGCAGCGATGCGGCCGCATATGCAGCAATGTGGCTGCATTTTAAAACACTGGTTAAACCTAATTTTGGTTATACTTTTTGTTTATGGGATATGTAAGTGGAAGTGTTTTCTTGTTGTTTCTTTCTTTTGTTATTGTGACTCTCTACGCACCCTTTCTAAATGGAACTTTGGATCGGTACCTCTCTGAAACATCCTTATTTTTGTGCAATTAATACAATGGGGTGGGTCCCAGAAAAACCCTGTTTCACTCAGCCAAAAATACGTGCAAGGGTTGCATATACAAATTTTTGCTTTCACATGTATGCCTGTTAATCACATTTTTTATTGGTGCCAAAATGTCTAGTATGAACACTCTTCTCTCTTTGCAGGCAAATGTTTATCATGCATCAAAAGCTGATGGTCAGGAGTTGGCTATTAAAGTGTACAAAACTTCTATACTAGTGTTTAAGTAAGTTTAGATAAACCTACTTCATAATTTATTTTCCTTTTTTAAATGAATAACTTTTCCTTCCTTCAGTAGCATTTAAGGTCTAATTCATTATATATATGATGTGTTGGTTTTGATTAAATTAAACTGTAATAAGAATTAGATGGATACTATTTTCATCTATAAAAGTGTATTGACGACTGTCAGCGGCTGGGATATGGTGATGCCTAGTGCTAATGGAATTTGTCTTTGGCTTTATAGCTGTTTCCTCTATTATTGCTACTGCTGCTGCTGGTTGGTTAATCCAATGGGGACAATGTCTAAGATGAAAAGATACCAACCACCAGGCGTTAATTCTTGAAGTCAGCTATTCAATATTGATTCATAACTTGAGAAATTAAAAGTGATGTATGGTATAAAATATAAAGTGTATATGATGAAACTGGGTGAGGTGTGGAAGGAGGCATAAAGTTGAGTTTCTTTTTCTTGATTGTTGTGAAAAATGATAAACCCTAAAGGACAGGTTTAGAATGCTTACTGTCTTTCTACAGCTAGACCAAAGCCCAAGGGACAAAAGGTACTAGTTAATAGGCAAAAACATGAGTACATCCCCTGCTGTAAATCCTTAGTTTTCCTCTTTAAGCTGGTTCATGGATGTCCGATCGATGTGCACAATTTGCCTAGGGTGAACTGTGAACGTATATGACGTTCACCTTCAAATTTGACGGATACATCCAGAAGTTGGTCGTCTGTGCAGGTATAAGGAGTCCAAATGCCTTTGGCAGCTGCGTTTTCTTGGAATGCTTAGGAGCATAGTTGTTGGGATCAATTGCAGGATCTGTAGCGGGAGCGGCGGATCCTGAAACTATAGATCCTGAAAGTTTAGAAGATCCCTATAGTTGGGAGCATCGTTTGTGCATTGTATGTGTCCCGGACAAGATCCCAAAATGTTAGGTCTTAGGAATCTCGTTTCCAACCTTTTGGAGATCTTGTTCCCAACCTTGAGTGTATATTGTCTAGGACTGCATTACTCTTTCAAGTAGGATCTCTTATTTATAGCTAGCAAATAATGCAACTATATTAAAAGAACAATTGCATTTCTAGCTTGCTATAAATAAGAAATATCTGTTTGGTCGTTGTCTTGGTCTTAAGATGGGAATCGAGATCCCTAACAATGGGATCGACATAACTGACAATGGGGATCGGGATCTCAAAATTTAAAAATTGAGATCCCTTGAAGATCCCTTTCCGGGATCGATGGATCAAGATTCCGAGGCAAAAATGCCACCTAGCTTGGGAGATCCCAGCCACTAGGCTTGGGAGAATTATGAATGGTTGAATGGTGCTATTTGAATTCTGGGGTATTGCTTTTTTGTTTTCTTGTCAGTAACCGCAAATATTAAAATAATTTTTAATTAGTTTATGATTACAAAAGGTCTTCTTGTGTCTTTATGTAATGGAAGGTGTTACTGCAAGAATGTAATTCATTTGAGTTCTTCTCATGTTGCTTGGCAACAGTTAGGTTATGACTTTTAATTTCTCATGAAGCATGACAATAGTTGCCATTCTTTTACCACTGTATGAGAGGCTGCACTAATGCACCATCTCTGGGGTCTTCTGCATTGTTATTGCGTGGGGCTTCCCCCAGTGAATGCTTGGCACGAAGTTATTCTTCTTTGAGTTCCGCTAACCGCTTTCTGGAACCACAGTTTATGGTCCTTTGGTTGTCTTATAGCTTGTTTGGATGTTTACTGAGGTGAAAAAAAGGCCATTCACAACCTCCAACCTGGTTGTCTATATTTACCTGCTAAAGAAATACTTTGGTTTCTCTATGTTGAATATCTCTGGTTATCAGTTTCACATTCTCTGCTTCTTTATCCTTTTAATAATATTATCGTATGCATAACTACTTAGATGCAGATACACAAACAATATATGAAAGCACTAATGTATTTGTGACTTACAAGGATGCATGTAGTCGTGCATATTGATATGTATGTTCTTCATTACTGTACACAAATTGGACAAACATGCATATTTAGAAAGTAGTTATAGAATGGAATAGTCAGGCTTCATATTCAAAGGGCAACATGACTAGGATCATGGCTGCTCTATGAAAGGAAACTGAGCACAAATGATCACCATCAAGAAGTGGTTCCTTCACTGCTTCATTGCCTTGAGATTCTGTAAGTCTAAACTCCAAAGACCAAAAGTTTATTGTTGGGGTTGATGGCCTTTAAAGGCCTTGAGAGCATGTAAAAATAAATAATTTATAGTGGCTGTTTGTACTCTACTGGAATGTTGGTTGACTGGCCTTGGGTTGAGTGGTTCATTGCCCAGGTCATGTTAAAAAAACCCTTCCTTTGGGCATGGGCACTACCCTTGAGGGTTTCAGTGGGTAATTCTTTGTTGAGATCGGAGAGATGTCTAGGGATGATATGAGAGCCAGGAAGTCACCGAGATTCCTTCATGTTGCTTACCCACTATCCATCTAAGGCATGGATAGCTCAGATTCTATTCTCTCTGCAACTCATAGATTACCTAGGAGCTTGGTCAAATTTGAGTCACAATGGAAGGTGGCATAACCCTAGGCCCTGAAGGGCTATTTAAAGGGGTGGTTCCTCTCATTCTCACCATCCAAGTGGTTAGACCTCTCTCTCCTCTCTCCTCAACACCCTAATTTTCACTCTCTATCGCTCTCTCTGGTCTCCTCTCTCTTGGTTAGGCGATGCCCCACCCAGTAAAGGCAGAGCAATAAGAAGGTGGCATGCCGCCTTGGCTAACTTGAGAGGAGGCATGTGCAGCTCAATGATTTTTGTTGTTCAAAGGGCGGTGCCACATTGTGGGATGCCCTAGTTTTGGGTTGAAGGATACCTAGTGGTTTTGTGTTCATGCTCACATGCCCATAGGCGCTTCCCAGATTTGGAGGATTCAAGCAGGGTTAAGGGTTAGTGTGCCATCGGTTTGGTAATCAGGTGTGAGTTGTGCTAAGTCCTATGGGGTGGCCCTTGGCAAAGTTCATATATTCTTCCCAGCTTCAGATTAGTCTTCCTAGCTTTTCTTGTTTATTTTCAGTTTTAATTCTCATTTTATTTTTTTGATTTCTATTTGTATTAGGATTTCTTTTTGAATTAGGATTCCAATTTGACTTAGAATCTACTTGTAATTGAAATCAGTTTATGAAATAAAGTTTTATTTTCTTTAAGGCAGTAATAGTTAAGATCCATAGGTTGTAGTAGGTTTTATTTTTTCGCTTCTGCTGTTAGTAAAAGAAAAATGAATTTTTTTTTATTTTACACCCCCGGAACCCTATGTAGTCACTACTTTCATTTATGACATATAAATAAAAAAGATAATCAATACACTAAACGGTTCTAGTCTCAAGTCTCAAGTCTCAATCAGATAAGTCATATGATTACCCATCATGTGTCATTCAGATAAGTCATATGATTACCCATCATGTGCATGGTGAATCTTCAACCAAATACCTTAAAAAACACTTTCGAAAACTAGCTGTATTGGCCGTCCAAAGATTCCTCTAATTTCTTTTGAAAACTTTGGATGAAAATAAATTTGATTTCTAATTTCTTGTTATTAACCTCATAGTTACATGTAAATATGGTTTGAACAGTGTTTTGGGGGGTGTAAACACCCCTCATATCCTTTTCCCTTTCTTTCAGTGGCTAACATTACCTAAAATGCCCCTGCTCATGGGCGATCTCCTCCCATGAGCATTAGGCCGCATATGTGGGTGCATCGTGCCCTATGCAATGCGCCTGCATATGAGGGCGTTTCATCATATCTTTTATATGCTGGATGGAGCAATGTGCTCCGGGCCACATAATGCATTATCCAGCTGCATAGTGTGTTATGCAACCGCATTTGAACACAATGCTCCTCATCATAGATTGGCCGCATCTGAACACATCCTTCGTAATTCCTGTCCACATTATAGAGAGGTGTCTTGGCTGCCTCTTAGGGCACTCAAAAGAAATGATGCCCAGGCTTGCCACACTTACACACTTGGGACCCTGCTCTTGCATTTTAAGAGCCCTACTCACAGCCATACCTTTTCTTACCTTTGCTCTATCACTGTATTGAGGGTCACCTTGCTGTCCAGGACCAGCAGTACGCCCTTTAAAGGCTGAAGAGGACCCTCGAACATAGGAGAACTTCAACATTGTTGCAACCTTTCAGGCTAATTGCTAAGCTTCATCATCGCAAAAATTCGGTGCAAAATCAACTCTTGATTTGAATTTTCAGGCCACTTACATAATGTGCAACGCGCTGATCATCATTCTCGTGGATCTCATTACAACTCATTAAAATATAGAATTTTTCGGTGTCTTTTGCGTGATCTTCGCTTTCTGTGGCTGGTGATGAAACCTGATACAAGTCTTGGGCTTAATCGAATGGGACAAGCTTCTCTTTCAACCCCGATGTCATCTTCCTTCAAGTTACGATTTTGTCTTTCCCTTTTCAAACCCAATTTTCTTGCACTTGTTGCAACCAAAGCAGGGCAAGACTCTTCAGCCCCATTTAGCTTTCTTTGGAGAATTCTTTCCACTCGGAGAAGGTCTCACTACGAGCAATCCAATCTAGGAAATCATAGGTTTCCAATTAACCGGTATATTCGGGCACATTGACCCGAATTCCACAGTCTGAACCTTCAAGAGCACTTACGAACTGATCCTCAAACATCAAGGGATTGTCTCCCCCTGGATATGAAATGGGTTCATCTCCTCCGCGGAATCAATTCCATCACTTTGATGACCCACTGCACCGCGTTCAGTGCGGTAGATGCATCTAATGCATTTGTTCCTTAATCTCCTTATTAGATCGTTTAATTCTTCCTATGTTGGTCCGGATCCACCACCATGGCAATGGCCTCCTTTACCTCCTCTATTAGCGATTGCACAACTTGTAGTGCCTCTGGCGCTTTGGCAACAAGCCTAATCTAATACCAAATGATGAATAACAAACCAACAATAGAGAATAGCCAAAGCAAAGATTTTAAATCTCGATTGAAAGTTGAAAGGGAATCTTACTCGCTATGCTTCTTAGTGATTTCTGGTTAAATCCTGACTCACAACATTAATAAATGAAATCTCAATTCTACTTGAAATTGGACTCCCAATTAGAATTGAGCATGAAATAACACTTTCACCTTATGTGGGAAAAAAATGATTTTACCCTTAATTAGCTAGGAAGATTTTGGACTCAGATTTCAGGCCTTTAGAGGCCAAGCTATACCTGTTTTGGTGTCATAGAGCTCTGAAATCCATTTCCGAATGGGAAGTTATGGCCTCTGGAAGATGCATTGTTCAAAATTCTCCTAAGATTCTTCTCATGAATATAGTCGTACAAGTTGGAGTGCAGGCCTATCCTTTTGCAGCTGCACCTTGGTTCACTTCCTTCCTCTTTGCTTGCTCCCTTTCCCATACATCAAGTGTGTTTCTTCAGGCGATCCCTTTCTAGGACAATTGGTTTGCTTCTTTTGTGCTTGATTACCAGATTAACATACCCCCCATAATTGTTCCTGCTCTTGTGGCCGATCCACCTGTCTAACCAGTCTGAACAGGCAGGTTCGACTGGCCAATGACAGTTGAACATTGGCATTAACCTAATTTTAATCCTAACTGCTTTAATCTGGCAGAGGACTGGTCCAACTAGCCATTCTGGTCTTGTCCTATTGAGCCTGGGTTATATGCCTGGCACATCTTTGCATTTTGGATGTCAGCCCTTACTTTAGGCGGTGTTTTCATTCATTGCCTTTTGCTTGTGATATGAGAAATGAGTTTGACCTAATTCATAATGATTTTTAAATGTGTATGATGGGCAGGCCATCGAATCTGGTGTGTTGATTCTCGATTGACCCATTGAGTTTTGTAAACTGTGTTACACACACAACATGTACATTGAAAAACCTGCAGGAATCTGTCTCATGCACCTAGGCATTGTATGATCCTTATGGTAATAAGAGACTAAGTAGAAAATTTTTCCCGTGTTATCAATTCATATTACGAAAGATCATGTAACATATATGCTAATTTCCTGATGCTAAATTGAAAAATGCTCTAGGTCCTTCTTTGTGTAATTTAATATTATCTTGCATTCAAATATGGATTTATGCTACATCCTCGTGTTAAGATATTCTCTACCATGAATTAAATGCCTGATTGGTTACAAATGCCGGTTTTCATGTGTGCAATTTGAGTTTTTATTTTGTTTTGCTTGTGAAGAACAAAAGAATATTATATAAATTGGTAACTTCTTTGTAAAGTAATATTGCGTTTGTAACTAAAATTAGTACATTGTAAGATTTCCTATGAATCTTCCCTTTTGTTGAACTGATTCTTCCTTCTGAATTTCAGGGATAGAGAGAGGTATGTTCAAGGCGATTTTCGATTTAGACATGGATATTGTAAGCACAATCCAAGGAAGATGGTAAAAACTTGGGCAGAGAAAGAAATGAGAAACCTTTTTAGGTAATGCTCTCCGAATCAGTTTTGGGTATATTGAACTGAATTTGTTTTATTCATATGAAATTATGAAGAAGCATGTGCATACATGGATGTAAAGACACAAATGCAACACACACATTTGAGCACACAGAAATGTTTATTAGTGATTTAAAAGTCCAACTTAGGCTTAGACTTGCCCTAGTCGTTCAAATCATGCCTGCGAGGTCCAATGAGCCTGAAGCCGCGAAACTGAGGTAGACCAGGCTAATGACCTAACTTCTGGATCACTGAGCAGTTCCATGGTGAACTAGTTCGAGTCTCTTAGCTTTAACCGAGTCAACCGAGACTCATTGGGTCTCACATTATTGGTTTTGTGCCCTTCCCAACCCATCCTAGAAGAAGGCTATACAAAGAAGCAGAGCTGAGCTTTTCGGTTCGCTGATCCCTGAGCTACCGCTTTCGGCCGGCTGTTGATAGCTAAGCTCCCCTGCTTCGTGTGTGCTCGTTCGGATTCGAGCTTTCTTTCACCCTTTGCAAAAACAATTATTCAATCTGCCTGACAAGGAAAGACACATTCCACCCATAATAGGAAGAAAAGCATGTTATTCAGTTCAACCCCCCCCCCAAAAAAAAAAACAGATAATAGGCCATCTAAAATTTGAAATCCACCGAAATAATGAAAGAAACTAGGCTCACTATCTGCCCAAAGCATAGTTGCTGGAGCCTTGTAGGAAAGGTTACTGACCCACTCCAGAACCTCGATTCCGCGGTTCCAGCTAGGAATCTTGGATGGAACACGGTTTCCTATATTGTGATCTGCGTTCCCAGCAGGTTCGAACCGCAGTTCTCAAGTGTATGACATAGTGCATATGATTTTTTCTCCATTTGGCACTGATTCATATGCAATGATTCAGTATTGTGGCTAATGGTATTGTGAATCGACGCATTATTCTTGATCCCTTAAAACATAATATTGCAATTCCTTCCCCATGGAATCGCACTTCCTTGTGATAGGGATTTCACTCCCTTGATATAGGATCTTACGGACGACTATCCCAACCACAAGGAGCTTCCAACAATCCATGGTTCCGTGGACCCTCTCCCTCTCCCGCTTCCGCTCCCGGGAACGCACCCGCACCCGTCAACTATGGCCCAAAGTGGAAGAAAAATATTCCTACTCTTTCTCCATAGCATCCAATCCACCTAAAAAGGCAAAAAACCGGGCACCCCAATCTGCCCATAAAGAACAAAAACAAGCTATCTAATTTACCCAAAAAGGTGAAAGAAATGCTTGCCTGTTCTTCAAGGTATACAATCCACATAAAAAGGAATAGTCCTTCTCAAAGCACTCTAGATGTAGAGAGATCAGCGGATATTTTTCCAAATCCATAAGTTTTGTTCCTTTTATTTTGTCTTGCCAATAATTTTAATTTTCCTTCAGCATTCTGACTTTTCTTCCCCCTTGTTTTCATGTTTTTCATTGGCCCAGACTAGACTTGTTGAGCTACTCAGCTCGGGCCTTGCCTGGTTCCTATCCCAATCCTTTTTTCGAAGCACTGATGTTCACACATGTGTGCATTGCATTTGCATACGTTTTTACTGTATCCATACATTGATATAGGCATGTTGACATGAATGTGCATATATGTGATGCGGGACAAAATTATCCTAATTTTTAGTTTTTGTTTAATATTAAAAGATATATATTTTAATTTTAGTTTTAGAGTCTATTTCTAGGGTTTAAGTTTTTTTGAGGATTCCAGAGTTTTTTTTTTTTATATTTTTTCTTTGCTATCCATTGGTTACTATTCATTGGCATTGTTTAGGGCAGTGTTCAAAAAACCGTCAGTTCGATCTGGATTGGATTTCTGTTGGGCCATTCTGGATCCAACCAAAAAACGGGATCCGGCCGTGTCTGCATAGTAAATTAGTAGCATCACATCAAAACTCATCGAGTCTGTTGATTATGATGTCATCAAACCGAGTATTGACTTCATTACACTTTTTTTTAAAGTCGGGAGGGTGTTTCTGTAAATTTCATTAAAAATGGGGGCAATTACAAGGCCACGTGTGCCTCTGTCAACCATGACCCCCTAGCACCACGTGCCTCTTTCAACCATAGGCACGATCCATTAAAGCGCCACGTGCCCCATGCTCCATCATGCTTTTCAAGCACCCCTAGCACCACGTGCCCATGCTCCATCATGCTTTTCAAGCACACATTTGAGGATGGTACTGAGGAGGCTTTTATTCACGTCAAATTTATTCTATTTTTTGGATGTGGGACATTTCATCCAATTCACTGGTCTAATTATATTTTTTACCTAGGAATTGGACATTTCATCCCATTCAATGGTCTAATTAAGATGGAGCATGGATACGTCATTGGATCGTAGGACATTTCATCCCATTCAATAGTCTATTTTTTAGATGTGGGACATTTCATCCAATTCTATTTTTTACCTAGGAATAAATGATCTAATTATATTTTTTATTTTTATAACATGGTGGTCTATAACATAAATTTAGGAATATTAATTTAAAGATAGGGTTCATACAATGAGGCCATTTGAAAACTCTCTCTCTCTCTACTATCAATCTCTTCCGCTAAATTTATTCTAGAAACCTAAACAATTAGATTTTTGAAAAATTAAAGTGTTATTTCAAAAATTGGTATGCTTTCTAATAAGTTTTACATTGATAACCAAATCTTGTATTTTATTTATTAATTTAGTTGCATTATAAATTATGTAATCCACTATTTTTTCTTACAGGTGTCAATAATATATTTTAAATTATATGATATTATAAGATATTTCATCCATGATAATTCTATGATTCTTCTTTTGTGTGATGTAAATTTAATGGTTAACATAAGTTCATACAGGGAAAGAACATCTCAATATTCGCATATTGATGAAAAAAATGAAAGTTAATAACGTAGTACCCTCATTTTTTATTGAATTCTTAAAAACAACATTTATAATGATTTGTAATATTTTTTTTAGATGTTTTTATTGCCGAATTCGACTGATCCAGTCGATTGCCGATCCGAGCCACCGATTCATCGATCCGGATGGGTTATTGGGGTGCTCGATCTGGGGCACCTATCCATTTTTTAAACCACTGGTTTAGGGGAATTGTTCACATTACTGTTCACAGGTAATGTTCATGCATTACTGTTGACAAGGGTATTTCTGAAATTTTAGTATTGTTTAGTGTATTTTAGAGGCTTAAATGTTATTTGGATCTCAAGTTAATTTTAGTGTTTCATGTGCTTATAAAAGCTTAGATGTCAAATTTTGGGATGCTTATGCTGATTGGATGAATTTTATTTTATTAAGGAAGAAAATTCGTCATTTTTTGGCTTGATTTATAGCCTTGCCTTTTCCCTATAATTTTTGGTTTTTACTTGTTCGAGGTTAAGGAAAAGGTGGAAATAATTTTCTACCTTTCCTTCCTACATCAAATGGTATTAGAGCTCGGGTATTCTTCAAAGCCACGAAACTACAGGCAAGCCTAGGGTTTACTTTTTTGGTCCATGTTTTGCCAAATCAGCTTGGATCTTGCTGTTTTCAGCGAAGTTTTTATTACTTATCTTTCTCGGGTCTGTGATTTCCACTAACCCATTGCTGAGAGAAAGGACCGTGGAAGTAGGGTTTTCGCAGATCCACTTCGTGATCCCAAAGATGAAAAAATTGAGGAACTTAAAAAGCAAGTTCAGCAGTTGGCACAACAGTTTACGAGCATCATTCATGGGCAAGGTGGTAATCATTCTGCGCAAGAAGATATCGAGTACCACCCTTTTCATCACCATGCTCCGTGAAGAATCGAGTGAAGAGGAAAGTGACAAATGACCTAGACATGGGGAGTATCACTTTAGAGCTTTCAATTTGAAGGACATTCTTGAATTTGACGCAATTTATATCGAAAATGAGCAGGTTGTAGATTGGGACGTGCCACGACTCATCGATACATACATATATGAAGAACAAGATCTTGTAGCAGATCCAATCTTCGATGATATCAAGATTTTGTGGTTAAATCGATCTTTGACGAAGAAAAAGATGGACATTTCAAGGATATCAAAGAGGTGGAGCATTCAAGAGATTTAGAGCATTGGAATCATAATAGCACAATAGAGGTATAGTCAGCTCATAAACAACAAATCGTGGCCCTAGTTTCAGAGTGTAATGAGATAGATGTTGGAAAGCCTCTAAAGGCCAAAAAATTGAGTTTGAAGTTTCTTGCACAATTTTCAATGTGAGTTCAAGGATAACCAAATTTGATAAGTTTCGATCAATTCCTTATTATAGATTCCAGTATCCATTTCTTGGGGATTTCTTTTTACCACGACTAATATTTGAGCCAACATAAAGAAAATTGAAGAAGTTTATCTTAGCACACTTCAAAACTTGAGGACGAGTTTTCTCCAACCAGGGGAGAATGATGTAAGACAAAATTATTGTTATTGCTAATTTTTATTCAATTTAAAGTATATATGTTCTAATTTTAGTTTTACGATTTATTTTTAGGGTATTTAAGTTTTTTAAGGAATTATAGGGTTCTTTTATATTTTTGTTTACTATTCACTTGTTACTATTCATCGGTGCTGTTCATAAGTTATTATTCTTAGGGGTAAAATTGCCATTACTAATTTTGTGTTTAAGTAAGGATTTTGTGAGTCATTCTAATTATTGTATGGAAATTTAATATCTTTGAATATTAAATTATAATATATAAGAGGTGGTAGGGCTTTGCGAGGGCCATTCCACATGATTTTTAGAAATTGAAAGAAAAAGAAAAGCTTAGGCTTTTGGAACCCTAGCCTAGATTATAGAGAAGAAACCTATGGTTTCTTGGTTTCTTCTACTTGGGCTTGTGTTTCGTTAGTTCCTTGCTGATTTTACTGTTTCTTCAGATTTCCCTACATCAAAGTGGTATCAGAGTATGGTTCAATGGTGGATAAAGATTGCGATGGCTGGTCGCAGAGGTCTTACCTGTAGGGATGCTGATTTGATCTG